CCCCTCAATCCCGACCCGCCAGCCCCTGCCTAGCCCAGCCCTCGGGCTCCCCCCAGCTCTGCCGGTGCCCCTCAATCCCGACCCGCAGCCCCTGCTAGCCCAGCCCTGGGCTCCCCCGCACAACTCTGCTGGTGCCCCTCAATCCCAACCCGCAGCCCCTGCTAGCCCAGCCCTGGGCTCCCCCGCACAGCTCTGCTGGTGCCCCTCACTGCTGCCCTATGTTCCCCCTGCTAGAACAGTCCTTGGTTTCCCAGACATGGAGCACAGATTACATGGACCTGAGCCAAACTGCAGAGATTTAGCAAGAACATCAAAGTGGGACTAGGCTGGGACTGGACAACTCACGTCACATGTGTCTTGGGCCAGGCGGAGCCACCCCCGGCGGGCACGGACGCTCCTTGGTCCCCAGAGTCCCTTTTGCACAAGTCAGCCCCTCGGCAGAGACAAGCAGTCAAGCTGGGGCTCCACCAGGATCTGCCCCAACACTGCCCGGCTCCCCCCAGCACAACCCCCGACGGACAGCTGGGTAAACCACTCCCAGTCACCCGCTGCCCACTCAGGCAACAGCGGGGAAACCGGGTTAAAACACACCCCTGGCTGCGTCTGGTCTGGCGGCCCCAGGAGCCCTGTCCCAGTCACATGCCCCCCGCCCCGTGGGGCCGTCCGCCAGGCAGGACCAGCCAGGCTCTCCCATCTCTGCAACCCGGGATGGGGCACTGTTAGGTTCAAAGTTGCTGCAGGTGTAGCTCCCCAGGACTTCAACGGATCACATAACGGCTGCACCATCCACCTCCCCAGGGCCTGCTGGTGGCTCTGCGCCTCCCAATGGGGCACCCCACCCCTCTGGTGTAGTTCCCTGGGATGGAGAGCACATGACAGGGGACTCCACTAGCTAAACCTACGGCACTGCCTGTATGCGGGCCAGCAAGGCCTCCGTGCCTGGGAGCGACAGGGCCGGCTGCAGGCAGGTCTGGGAAGGAGCCCGGGCTAGCCCATGCCAGAAGGGGAGACTGCAGCCCGTGTGTGGCAGAGCCATTAGCGAGGTTTAACTGCAGCACAGCAGCGGGTGGGGGAGCTGAAGAGGGCAGGGAGCCCGTAGCTAAGAGGGGTTAAGACCTGGATGCTGCAGGGAGGTGGAGGAGGCAGAGCCCTGGGATGGTGCAGGGACAAGGCCTGGGGGATGGGGAGCCAGCGCCCTTGGAGAGCCAGACCCAGATCCCTTGAGACTGGGAAAGCAGGTGGGCCAGGAGCCTGGGCTAGAGACACATGGTCTGACCCGTGGCCACGCGAGGCCTAACTCTTCTTCAGCCGCCTGTGCACAGGGAGACCCTCCCCGCCAGGCCCAGCCTTCCCAGGGAGCCATGGCCTGTGCAGGCGGCAGCCTGGGGCCAGGAGAGGAGAAGCCGGCCCCAGGGCTCTGTGGGCCCAAGGCCTGTGCTTTCCAGCCACCCTGCTGCGCTCCTGGCAAAGGCCAGACAGCAGGGCCCATGCAGCGCTGCCCCAGCCAGGCATCGTGGGGCAGGGACCCAGAAGGGGGAAGAGTGCGGCCCAGCTGCTGGGCATGGTATGTGCTCTCTGGCTGTGGGACTCCAGCAGAATCCAGCCCCTTCCAAAGCAGCTGCTCCGTCCCAGGGCTGAGCGCGCTGGCTCCAGCCCTGCAAGATCCCATTTCCGGAGAGCTGGTGGGGAAACCAAACCCTGCAGACAGCCCTCCCCCACAGCCAGTGAGCAGCACGAGAGACTCCTCCAGCCCTGCCAGATGCTCT